TAGACATTGAAGCTGCCAAAAATGCTTCACGACAACAACGAAAAGTTCTAGTGAGGGCCATCAACAAAAAGTAAGACGAAGGAACAGATCGACTCATGGAAGGTCTGGAGGAACTCTTAAGGAAATATTTAATGAATGGAACTGCACCCTGGGCAACAGGGCGGCCTAAACGATATAACTGCGGCAGAGAGGGAAATTTAAGGCGGGACTGTCGATCATGTTCGGGATCCGAGAAAATCGATCCGAGGTCGGTAATGAGAGCCGACATTTCCAACAGAAGCAGTTTGAAGAATTTATCAGTAGTACTCGTTCTGGAAACGGCCAGTGGAGGTTGCTAGGAGGCAAAACAAGTCATACACTACACCGCTTTTTAGGAAATCCAAAGGACAAAGTCGATCATTCGGAAAATTCTGGAATTTATGAAATTAAATGTAAGAACTGTGATGCAAAATATTATGGACAGACTAAAAGATCTACTAAAATAAGATATAAGGAGCACTTAGCACACCTAAAATATGGAAAACCCGAAAAAATCAGCAGTTGCCCATCATACTTTGCAACAAAACCATTCCATAAACTTTAGTTCATTAAGATTAGTTAGACAAGTTAACAATAACAGACATCTAGTACCGTAATAGTAAAACGTAGATGGAAGTAAAATTTTCAATTCTCATTGCAGAAAGTGTAAAGATAGCTATCCTTTTTTGCTACTTCTGCTGTAAAAATTTTCTGATTTCAGGCAAAAAATTGGTTCGCAAATTTGAATGATGTCGTAGTATTGTGCATACAGTTGTACCTGTTGGGCTGTTTAGTGGTTACTTTAATAAGTGTAAAAATAGTTTACATTCTTTAAGACATTATTGAAATGATTATAATCAATGGAGAAGTTGGAAAGGGCGCACGAGCGGAGTGTCTTTTTAAGGAAAGACATCCAAATTGCCAACGGTATGTGCTTGATTTGGTGAATAAGTTTTACGAAACTGATTCAGTGACAAATTAAAAAAAAGAAATAACCTCAGAGTACCTAATGAAGCAGATGAAATTGAAGTTTTGGGAACATTTGCTGCAAAGCCCGCGAGCTCCTTACAATCAGTATCAGAACAGACGGGAATGTCACGCAAGACTGTAAGAAAAGCATTAAAAATGCATAAATTTCATCCTTATATAATGCAGATTCTTCAAGAGGATGATATTATGACAGAAAAATAGAGTTTCGTGAAATCATGTCTCATCGAGTCAATACCATCCCTAATCTTCTGTTAAACATCAGTTTTATCAATGAGTGTTCATTTTTTCTGAATATGAATGTTAATAGACAAAATTGTCGCTATTGGGGTGACGAAAACCCACATATTTTTCGGGAAGGGCATACACAACACCTACAAAAGGTTAATGTTTGGGCTGGTATTCTTGGAAATGCCATTATTGATCCATTATTTCTAGAAGAAAACTTGACTAACAATCTGTACCTTGAAATGCTTGAAGAGACTATTGATCCTCTTTTGACTCACGAGCTAGAAACTCAAATGGATGCAGAAGGTAATTAACTTTTTCAGGAGGATATGTTACATTTCCAGCAGGACACTGCTCATAATTTTCTTCTCGTCCGACAGTGATGAAACGAGAAATTTCCGGATAGATTGATTGGCAGAAGGGGATTCAACACCTTTAGATTTTTTCTTTGAGGCATCTTAAATCTGTTGTTTATAAAACACAACATTCTGATATTGAAGAACTAAAACCCTGACAGAGTTTCTGTAGATATAAATTCGTTTATATATTCCCATATGAAATGGATAAATATTTGAAGTTTATAATTTATTTAGGAAAAGTATTTGTTTGTTTGTTTGATATATGATAATTGGGCATTTTTTATCATTTGCAGTGTAGTTAACACAGTACTTAGTTTTATATGGTAAATTCAAAAAATCATAGCACATTTTTCTTGGGTACAGTTTTTATCTTCATGGTCTCCACTCAACGACAAATCAGTTTGTTTCTGCAATTCTTTGAAGAGTGGTTGAATCGATAGCATTTAAAATATTGCGTTAATCTGTTATTATCATAAGCATTCAAGTTTTGTCAATTGATAAATAATTTTCCTTGATTTTTTCCAATAATTGTGTTGAACAATTTTCTATTTACTTTCACAGTATATTTATCTTTATGTTGAAAATATTTCAAATAGGAAATTTTAATACAATCTCTTTAACAAAATAGTTCTGTTCACAAATCGTTCTGATTTTTCATTCGGAATAGGTTTTTCTAGCGAAAGGCCAACATTTTTAATTTTAGGGTTACGTTTTATTCAACTACGTTGTCTTTCACTAATTTATTTTCTATTTCTGCCTTTCATTTTTCATTGTGAATTTTTTCTTTACAGTAAACTTGTCCTTTCTTCAAGTACTTAACTTTGAGGTAAACATTATTACTATTATCACTCAGATCTTTTTTTATTCTTTATGAGTCTTGTTTTGATTTTGATTGAATATTAATTGATTGAAGATAAAAACTGGTTTTATCTTATTTAGATTGAGATAGTACTTGGGAATAAGATGGAACATGGAATTGGCCGCGGTGGTAGTGCGCCCGACTCACGATCGGAAGGCCGTGGGTTCGATTCCCGCCTCGATCAGATATTTTTCTCGAGATAATTTATCTGGTTGAAGCTAGGATGATTCTGCAACCATGTTAGGAATCACACGTTAAAAGGCAAGACCTCGTTAGTCCTTAGCTCGCACAATTTTCTCAACTTCTGAGAGTTGTCGTTCGTATGGGGGCGACAGGTGATTAACGAAAATACAGATTTTTTTAACAGATTCCTTAAAACTTGTGTAATTTCTGATTATTTTATCTAAAGTATATTAGATGTGATCAGCTCATAGGTATTATGAAGTCTTTCATTTTCATTTTGTAATCGGGGTATCTTACGGTTTTTTTAATGATTAAAAGTTCTTTTTATTCGATTGTTTTCCATAAATGTCGATTTTCTTCTTGCATATTTCTGATAGATGCATGCCTGTCATAATCTATTTGTTCTTTATTATCATAATCAAACATAATCGACCTTCTTTAGGTATTTTCACATTCCACAACCTGAAAAATATAAAAAATGGAAAGGAGAACTTCATACAAATGTAGAAAAGACAAACTTTTTAGTTTACCCCGATAAGTTACTGCCTAAATTCAAAATATTTTTCACAAAGAAAAATGTTCCATCTATCAGTAACTTGTATTGAATAATTTTGCCTATCAAAAAACTAGCTATAAAATTATACAATACTTGTTTCGTTTCGGGGGCCAAAATCTCCCTCTGTCTTCAGAAATTGACAAAATTAAAGTCTATAGGCCGCTCGTCCTTTGGTGATTATTTTTATTCCTGAACTTCTTCAACAGGTGTCAAAACTCTTTTGATATCCTTTGTCGAAACACCTTTAACATCTGTAGAAGAAGTTGAGAAATAAAAATAATCAGCATCCTTTGTAGAAATCCCCTGACATCTGATGAAGAAATTGAGGAATAAAAATAATCAGCAAAGAAAGAGCTGCATATAGACTTATATTTTGTCCATTTTTGCAGACAGAGTTAGACTTTGGCCTTCGAAAAGTTAAGATAATTATTGTACAATTTCTTAGTATTTTTTTGATAGATAAAATTATTGATTGAGATAAGTAACTGATGAATGGAACATTTTTCTTTATAAAAAATACTTTGAATTTATGCAGTAACTTATTGGGGTGAACTTAAAAGTTTGCCCTTTCTACACTTGCATAGAATTCTCCATTACAATTTTCATATTTTTTAGATTGTGGAAGGTGAAAATACCAAAGAAGGTCGATAAAAAACTGGTTTTCATCCTCAAAAATTGACTTTTGTGCAAAAATTCTTTTTAATTGTAGACAAACCAAACCAAATCTTAACTATCTGACACTAATAAAATTGTAGTTTGATATAACTAATGACCTAACTGAATAACAATAGTTTTCTCATGAACATGTCAGAAGAAGGATACATTTAACAATTTATTTTAATTAGCTAGCAATACTCCGCACCCCCTTGATTTGTTATTGTTTGGAACAGACTCTCCATACTTCCCTAAAACATCAAAAATCAGCCAGTCTCAATTCTGGATTCAAAATGTCTGTTGTAAATTCAGATACAACTAAAATAATATCAAATATCATATAGAATTTTTTAAGTTAAATCATAACACCATTAGTTAAATGCTGATGACTACCCAATTAGGTAAGTTTTATGATGGAGAAACTATCTTAGGAACTTCACTAATGTACACAGATGTAGGTAATTCTTCAGTTTAGCTGTTCTCTAGGTAATTTGAATTTCTGTTGATACTATCTTTTATCTAGGACAACTGGACTAGTGATTTTTTCCATATTTGAAATTCAACCATTCAACAACTGTTACAACTTATATATTTTCCTGAATAAAACAATATATTTACAAATTTTAATACCAGTAGTTTTAATGGTTTCAAGTAGAATAATTTCATATTGAGATAATCAGCAATTTTCGAATTTTTTAGATTTATAATGACGATAAAACCAAGATTTCTGTAAATGAAAAACAATTCAGTGACAAAGTATTTTTGAGATATAAATTGCGAAACGATGACTTATTGTGGAGCATGAATTCGACACAGCGGAAATCCGATGTAGGAAAAATTCAACATAGTGATACGCACTATGTCACAGAAAGTCACTACCACTTAAAATTCCCATGCATTGTTGCATTACAAACAATGGAAGTGAAGACAAGTTAAGAAGTGGTGATGAAGACTGCCTGTATGAAAACAGCATTTGTGGCATCGACAGCACAAGAAGTTCGCAGAATATTTAAGAAGCATAAATCTGTATTGAAGACTAGTCTAAGATGGTATTGAAAAAAGTTTGCCATAAAAAATGGAAGTTATCGTTATGCCTCCGATGTTGTAATTAATGTAAATGTTACCAAACCAAATGATTAAATGAAAATTCACTTACTGTACATTTTTTCAGCTTGACTTTCAAGATGTCGTCCAAAGAAATCACTGGCCTAGAATTTTCTTTACCACTCGTCATTGTAGTTGTCTTTTTTGCTATTTTCAATTTACTTGCAGTAACTAGTGGCTCCGATGGAGGTAGTGGCGGTGGAGGGGGCGGAGGGGGAGGAGGTAGTGGAGGCATAGAAAGAGCAGTCTGAATCATGGGAGTACAAGGTGTGGCAGATTTCATGCATGATATCCTATCTTTAACTGATTCCAATTCACTACGAAGCTCTTTGAATTGTTTCATTTCCTCTTTGATCTGAAAATGAAGAATTGAAAATTTTCTAACGTAAAAATAATAATGTTCAATAACAATGTTTATTTTTATAACTAAGTATTACAAACAATAAACAAAAACATCGCAACAAATGAACAGAGAAATCATAGAAATTCAAACTGATTATACGTGAAATGATGACAAATCCAAGTAAAAGAAATATTCTGTTTTATTTTCAGAAATGGTTACATTTGAGTTCAGTTTTCACATTTCATTCAATGTCAACCAGGAGGCAGATATATCCAAATAATAGCAAAACGAGTGTTTTTTACAATGCTCATTTGGAATTTACAATGTTGCCGAACTTTCATCTCATTTTAAGAATCCAATCAGGTACGTATATAATTTTTGTATTTTTCACTTATCACAATATCCCTAATCTCACGAGGTATGAGCATATATATTCTTGACGCCAAATAATGTACACTTTGATGTCCAATAGTTTCTCAATGTCAAGGTAAAAGTATGGAATCGCTTTTTTCGTGTATGGCTATTTTTAATAAACGTGTTGTAATATTTATTTACAGAAAAGTTGTCCAATGTTCATGAATTAAAATTCTTTATGTAAGAGATCACTACAATAATGGTGTGTCTTGCAAAGTATTATTTTCAAGATTCATTTCTGAACTTCACTTACGTGTGTTTGAAGGTGGTTGACAATGTTTCGTGGTGTATTTCATCAGTTCGGACTTCCATTGTCTAATATAATATAAATTGATTTGAAATCCCTGAAAACAAAAAACTGAAATTACAAGGAAATAACATACAAACTAGAACCAGAAAATAAAAAATTGAAATATGAATAAAAGCTGAAAATTAAAAAATATTATTATCGCGTGATAACCAGTTATCACCCGAAGACGATTGTGGATACTAACAATCGAAACGTCAAGACGTAACCAACTGATGAAATTCACTTACGTGTTGAACAAAACACCAAAACACCCACCGTACTAAAATTCCGTATGAAAGTTGTGACAGGATGAAGGAGAAATAAATTGTTTTCAAACGTCTGGCATCCATAAACAGCAAGGTCAGGTCACCTTTAAATCTACGTTGAGATGGTCTAATTTCGGTAATTAGGAAGTTAGTTTGGTAGTTTTTTTGTAACCAATAGTCAGTTTATTATATTGAAATCGTTTGAAAGTTTTAAGAATATAATTTTCAAAGGTATGTTTCATCAGCAGACCTTACTACCTCAATGACTCTGTGCTGCAGACGCAACGTATGCTGGCAATAGACTTTTCAGACCGTTGCTGGCATACCTTCTATGTCCCGTCTAGCCCGTGTCCCACCAGCAACATACGGCTGACATTATAACCGGCAGTGAGCCATATTTACTTGCAATGGTCTTGTTCTAGGCCATTGCTGACAATTTCTTACCAAAGCTGGCCCGTCAAATGGGACAATTAAGATTTTGTTAGTATGCCAATATTGTGCCGGTGACAAAACATTAGTTCATCCATTTTAAAACCGTTGATGGTACTGACATATTGACTCAAAGAAATGGGGGATGGTATTATTTGCTCTATTTCCCACAAAAACTATAGTAGACACGTTATAAAAAGGCCAAAGTTAATTTATATTATAGAAAGGACAAAGTGAAATAGAAAATTATAAAAAGGATAAAATTAATTTGAAATATAGAAAGGACAAAGTTGATTTGTCCTATAAAAAAGTTATTTTAAGATCTGTTGAGAACACTTTACCAACACCAGAACAAAATTACGGCCTCTCGACGCGCGTTTCGCTAACCAAATTAGCATTCTCAGGAGATAATTATGACTAGTGTTTTTATATGATAGTGGCTCATGAACACTGCCGTGCTAAGGAAGAAGTTCGTAACTGACAATTTCATCAAAATTGAGTTATTGCCATTTTTGGCATCTGCAACCACCAAACCAACTTCTGAGAAATGTTGGATGCCGGAGCTATTCAGCTGAAGACACAAATTCAGTTTGAAATTTGTCGTATCTACAAACTATACTGACTTTACAATGCAAAAATGTCGTATCTGATATTACTAAGCAAAATTTTCGTATCTACGATAACATTGGCAGATACGACAATTTTGCTTAGTCTTCGAGTACATTGGCAGATACGACAATTTTGCTTAGTAATTCACTATGAAAAATTCATCCATCACTCACATTTTGAGGTTATGTGTATGAGTTTGTTGTTGTTTACACGTGTGACTTCATGATATCCTAAAAATGTTTCATTATTAGAACATAAAGATGAGGGAACATATTGTTGAGGGAATGACACCCACCGATGGAGCTTTAGAGTTATTATTTGATAGCGATGATTTGGTGAAAGACAAGGATTACCTTCCAGAAAATTCATCAGATGGTTATGAGAGTGATGAATCTATTCCTCTTGCTGACCTAAAATATAAAATTAGGAAAATAAATTCTCAACAAAATAAAGAAAACATAAATTTGGAAAATAAAATTGAAAATAGGGACTCTGAACAGGCGAATGAATCCCAACAAAAAAAAGAAAAAATTAATTTGGAAAATGAAGTGGTAAATAAGGACTCGGAACGGACGAATGAATCTCAACAGAAAAAAGAAAAAATTAATTTGGAAAATGAAGTGGTACATAGGGACTCTGAAGGGGCGAATGAAAGCAGAAAACGAAAACGGCAAAAGCATGCTTTATCTCTGGAAGAAAAAAACTCTGAAGTTGAGGAAGAAAGTCGAAAGTCATAAAGTTAAAGATAATTAATTGTAAGGAAAGTTGTCGAAAGAAATATACAGAAAAAAATCAGTAAAAACAGACAAATCCAAATAAACCAACAATTTTGGCAAACAAACGATATTGAAAGGAGAGCATTCATAATGCACAACATAACTGACAGTCCTGTGAAAAGACATCTGGAGATAATTCTCGAAGGAACCATTCAGTGAAATACTTTCTTCAGAATGAAGACGGAAAACAACACGTTTGTAAACATATTTTCCTAGCAACATTGGGTTATGAGTTGAAGAACAACAAAATTCTGAGGAATTTAGTTGTTCATAAAACTACAGGAAAAATAATTCCAAAAAATGATGGTCGGGGCAGAAGAGAAGCTCATAATAAATTCAATACCGATATTATTATTAGCCACATTGAATCATTCAAACCAACAATATCGCATTATCGCCGAGAACATGCACCAAGAAGGTTATACTTGCCTAGTGATATAACAAAAATAATGTATCAGAAATTCTGTACTGATTATCCCCAACATCATATTTCATATGAACTTTATAGACGGGAGGTGGCAAAAAAAATATTTCTTTCTGTAAACTGGGCCATGAGGAATGTTTTGCTTGCGAAACTTTTTTAATGCATCAGAAAAGTTCAAGCCATTCAAATTTGCTGGAACCCAACACAAGTTGTGATGTATGCAAATCCTACATGCAACATAAAAAGAAATATGATTCGTCTAGAATCGAATACTCATCAGATTCAGACCCTCAGAATCAGGATATTTGTTTTTCTACTGACCTTCAGAAGGTATTTGAAATATATATTTTTTTAATCAAATTTTAACATGTCAAAATCTTTCAGGTTATTATGCTGCCAAAGTGCGATATGTATAAAGAAATCATATTCGTGCCTCGAATTATTGCTTTTCCCGAATCGTTTGTTCCTGTAGGCAAAAGAGCAAACAAACAAAATAATTGTTATCCTATTGCTTGTATTTGGCATGAGGGAATAACTGGTCGGAAAAAGGAAGATATAATTTCCACGTTTTATGCATTTTTTCTCGAAATGCGTGATTGCAAAAAAATTAATGTATGGCTTGATAATTGTTCTGGCCAAAACAAGAATTGGGCCTTATTTTGTTTTTTCATTTATGTGGTAAACTGTGACTTGGTTAACTTAAATGACCTGGAAATAAAATATTTCGAGCCAGGCCACACTTTCGTGTCGGCTGATTCTTTTCATCATGCAGTTGAGACCCAATTGAAAAGAAAAAGAAAGGTCTATGATTTTCAAGACTTCAAAGAGTGTGTACAAAATGCTCATCCCAAAGCAAAAATGATCGACACGAGTAGAAGTATCGACAACTTTTTCGACTGGCCAGATCACACATCTTTAACAAAGCTGAAAAATTCGAATCCTAGACCATATATGTCTGATATCGTACATTTGAAGCTAAAAAGGGGTGAGAAGACCTTACAATACCGAAATTCTTTTGCAGATGATTTCATCACATTGAACTTTCTGAAAGCTAATCAAATGGAAAGTGATCTGAGTTGCCCCTCTCCCAAAAAAAAAGCCAAGAGGAATATCGAAAAAAAGGAAGTATACTCGTCTGCAAAAGCTGTTACCAATTCTACCAATCCCCAGGCGACAGTTCTGGAAAAATTTTCCTGAAGCGAACGGCGACGAGGAGGAGAGTAGTATTATTGATGATGAATAACTCCATGATAACCGAAATTGCATCCTCTCACTAGTTTTCATTCATATATGTATATAATAATAAGCAGTAATAATATATTATTTATGTTCCATTTTATTCCCTATATATTTGTGTTTACTTACGACATTTTGTATTGTACTTTCCGATTTTTTTTATAAAAAAAGTCGTATCTGCATTTATTTTTAAATTTTTTGAAATATCACAACGAAATACCACTGAAAAATAGCATCCACCAATATGAACTCCCACCCCGAGAATAATCAATTTCCTATCAGAAATGTGGATGGCATTGAAATAAGTCTTAAAATGCGATTATCTCAAAATGATCAAATTGTCAGTTACGTACGACCTTCTTCCTTAGCACGGCAGAACAGATTAGCCATGAAAGAAGACAACAGATTTTCCATTGCCGCAGATTTGAAATGGAAGCAAGGAAATAGTTGGATTACTGGATGGATAATTTATTTGCCATTTTCAATAAGAATTGGATAAAATTCACATATGAAACTGAAAATAATGAAGAACTACCATTCCTGGATGTACTAGTTATTGAAAATGTCAA